TTTTCCGAGTATCATCATCATCGCCATCATCGCCAGCAGCAACCCTGAAATTCGATCTCCGACAACAAGCGCAACAGAGAACCAGGTGCAGGCTAGGTAGATCATTCAAGCAGTGCCTAGCCATCTCCCTTGGTTTCTTGAGCAAGAACCTGATGAAAGTAGTAAGCATGGATAGTGCTGGTTTCTTGACGTCACGCATGGACATACAGTACACTGCATAGGCAGACGTCTACACAACCGGTTGAAATAACCTTCCCCCACTATGACCACTTCGGTAGGCTTAACTTCGGTAGTCCCGAGTCTTACCCACCTCCTATCTTACTTACTACACCATTTCCAACCACTAAGCCAAGCAGCGTACATAGGTAAGCCGGGGAAAAAAAAGCAAGCTTACTACCCTGTCAGCTGTCATGCCACCTAGACGGCTCTCCTCCTCCCCTCTAACCAAGAGTCCGCTTCATCGCAATTCCTTCCGTTCGCTGCATAGTGACCTGATGTCATCGTCTGGTCAAGAAGGAAAGCATATCCCTCAGGCCATTGAGCGATACCTTACTTTGTGGTCGATGCTACCAGCAGCACTGCATTGTAAGTCTACGTACAGTCTACATTGCTCCACTTCCACTGACTACTGGGTGGAACTGGGGGGGGGGCGCTGGGGCAATGAGAGCAACGTGCATTGCATCCTCATAAATTCTCGCCTGCAGTGCTAAACCCCGTAGAGGAGGAGCTTCGGTCAGTGTGCATTTATCGAGGGTAGCGTGACTACCCAAGGCAGCTGAGTTGGGATGCAGACCGAGGCTCCTTCGGTCTCATAGAGAAAGACACCGGCATACTTAAGTTGTCCTATGGAGAAGAGGCCTGGTGATGATGACGTCCGTTTGCTTTTTGTCGGTCAGCAGTTGGGGAAGTGGGCCATAACTGTTCCAAAATCTGTGTTGATGACACATTCCAATGCTTGGGAGGATCTCTGGGCGTGGCCCTTTCTTTGGCTTTTGCTACAGCTGCTCCTTCAGGATGCGGGTAGTCTTGCTCCTAATTTTGACCGCGGCATATGTGCTCCACGCTGTGCGTCCAATGTCCCATATTGAAGCAAGCGCTCGCGAGGGTGTCCAAGACCATCAAGAACTCTCCAATGAGTATACATCAAGCGAGGCGTAGTCGCAAACGCCCCGTGGCGCTTGTTGATGGCGCAAAATGGAATAAATCGTTTGAACTTACAAGCCTATTACAAAAGTTATTACACTTTGCCCAAAACCAACCTATCTACAGCTTCACCCGGAAGGTCTAGATCGTACAGCCCAAGCCCACGCTATGAATCTAAGAGACACTGATCCCGACCAGAGAATTCTGATCATTTCGTTGACCTCCATCCCCGAATCATCTACACCAGGCCTTAAACCTGGGCCCACAGCGGTTGCGGAAGTTCATCTCCAGGCTGAATCATCGCTTCGCGGCGGCAGCTTCCAAATCCGGCCGTTTGGTGTGCAAACTCGGGACGGGTGGATGGGGCCGGCGGACGGAAGCCAACATAAGCCTCACGACGCGCTGGTTCACCCACAGTGACCGACCACGTGTGCAACCCATAATAAGATGCAATCGAGTGGACCAGCCAGCGGCTATTCAAGACACACGTTAGCAAGGGCTTGCTCAGCAAGATTCTCCGACAGTTGGCATCAAACTTACCCAAACCCAGCAGCGCGATCATCGACCGGGCTCTCGAACACCATCTTCTCGCCGTCGCGCTCGTTGCGAGCGCTCATCGCTTCTCGCATCTGCTGCAACTTCGCCTTCCGTTGAGGTGAATCATGCATCAGCCCATTACGACCCACGAACACGACCTCATCCTCAGAGTCATCCTCATCGGACGACTGAGGAGCATCGGTCAGCCCCTCCTTCTGGAGAAGAAGCTGCTTTTCGCTCCATCGCTGGATGAACTGTCTGATGTCCTCTTCCAGGTCCTGGAGCATACCGCGAGCGCCACGTGCGTGCTTGAGCTTCATGCGAAGCTCCTTCGGTACGCGGTGTTTCTCGTTCCCCGTGCCAGCGCCGGCCTGCTTCGAATTTTGGTCCAATTGCGCATAATGGGAATCCCACAAGGGCGCAAGATAGTATGGCATGGGGTTGTGTCGGGTGTAGGTCGGCTGGATATTCCAGTCCTTAGAAGAAGGCGGCTCAGCCCAGGGATTGTGCAGGAGACGATCTGATTTCAGAAGCGGTTAGTGAATCTGATATATCCACTAGCTGACGGCGGCGAATGAAGTCTAGCGCAGGACCTCCAAGCAATGCAGCTGCAATTAAGGGGGACCGACCATTTTCCCAACGTTGTCTGCGACGGCTGCCATCCTTCCCCTTCAGGAGAGCCTCGCGCCTCTTGAGACTGTCGCGTCGCAAGGGTTCTCGACGACGGAAGCTGACCGACGCCACCTGTTGAGCATCCTTTGAGGGTTGACCGAGAAGCTTGACGCGAGCCGCAGACGCGCTTTCTGTTCTCGGGGCTGGGTCATCCAAAGGAATCGACAGAGATACCGTGGTTCCGCGAAAAGATGTCCGCGTCGGTGTAGATTGTGACAACGAAACAACTCGATCGCTGGACGAGACCGGCTCCGAGATGGTCAAGTTTTCCAGAGAGACAGCAGCCTGTTCTGTCCAAATCGAGATGGCTCGGGCCTGCTGCGGCGACAGGTTGCCTCTTGGGTCTGCCTCAGACGGGAAACCGGGGTGAATCGCCATCGCGGGAGCGCAACGCGGTTCAATCAGATCGCGAGAGCGGCCGAAAATGGTACGATGGACGTAGAGCAGGTGGCGGAAGGCTCAGCACACGGATGACGTCGCAGCCTTAGGCGGATGATATCTGCTAGACTGACCAACACCGAGGAAGGATGTGCAGCAGCGACGGTAGGTAGAAGGACGCACGAGTGGGCGTCAAGGGGGAGAGGGGAGAAGGGAGAGCGGGGAGGCGAAGAGGAAGGACAAGCAAGATAAGAGAGATAACCGACAACTGCGGTTCCCGGTCGCGTCCGCGTCCGGGGGGGCGAGCAATTGAGTTCCGTACGGTAAAATACTATGGGTAAGCCGCCGAGAATTTTTCGAAGTCAGTCAATCATCCGTCCATGGACCTCCCTCTGATGGGACACGAGAAGCATCAGATGAAGGCCATTGGAGGAGATTGAGTTCAACCCTAGCCCTACCTGCCACTTCAGGTTTGGCCTCAGGACAGGCGGTGCAATCATGGATGACTCACAGTGACTGACTTGGGAGTCACTGGGTGATGTAATGGATGTAAACGGTATATTCAATACTTGAGAACTGGACCGATCTTATGCTGCCTAGAGCCCAAGTGTCTCAGGTGGGTGATTCCCTTGGTGAGAAGTGCTGGGATCGCGGAGTTCATGGAGCCTGATCTACGGTACATATTGAGTTACCTGTACTCAGAATGAGTACGAGTACAAACTAACCTTATCGAGTGATTTCTGCAGTGTAGTACGAAGACACACTCGACAGTCAGGGCACAGTAACCCTAACCAGTATAACTACAGAGAGACCCTGACATAAACTATTTGTTTGCTCTTAATGCGTTCCAAATCTCCATCGGTGGATTGACAATGGAGGTACCTAGTTTACTCTATATCGTCCAGCATACTGCTCAATGCTCGACATTATGATGTCAATCAAACGAGAGAAGTGGTCAGGCACATTGGAGTTCTGTCTATACAGAGGGAAGGATAGAATCACGAGCTCCCCATCACGGTTTAGATTATAGCCATGCGCGAGTCGAACAGCAATGAACGTACCATTATAAGGCTGCGTTGCAAGGTTCCCCGCAAGATTGAGGCCTTTAGTAGCGATCAAACTGGATCTTCTGTTATAGTCAAGAGCGACAAGGTTTCCCTAATATCTTGTGCAATTCTCTAAATCATACAGCACGCTTTCGGCCAAGATAAATCGCATGAACTGCCATCTTCCATCTTCAAAAACCGGAATGGTCGTTTATCGGGTAATGTCTTATGCTTGTCCGTAGAGCCATGAGGTCCCACAGTCCCACCTCGAATGCTGGTCCTGATAAGCTTCCATTACAACTTGTAGCACTGTCCTATCCATAAGTCTGATGGGCCAACAACCTCTTCTTATTCTCCCTCTCGTGACTAGACTATAGATTGCCTGCTGACGGTTTATGCTTGGGACCGCGTTCCATTACCTAATATATGACTCAGCTAGGTGGATGACTTCAATCTTCCAGGCACACTGGTTATAGACTCTGGGGTGGGTTACGCTCAAGCTTCGATGGCAAGCTGACAGTCCAATAGCATGATTCTCTGAATAGTAGTCTCACACAGCCTCGGATCACCATGAGAAGCAGTCCTAGCCTCTGCCTAAATGCCAAGTGCCAATGCAAGTCACCCATACCTTGGAAATCCAACCCCACTGGGCGGCTAGTGTGGTCCCTGTCTCTCACCCTCCTAGGCTCCTAGAGAGCGCGAATGATTTAGACTGCCACGATGCTACTAGGAGTCAATCAATGAAGAAGGTCAGGTGGTTGCTGGAAACCTTAGTTCTGCCAAGTCGTACCAACATGAACTCAAGTGTAGTCTCGCCCAACCCGTGTGGATGTTGTGCCTGGCAATCTTATTTAAGCAGCGTTCGTCACTGACGCAACTTGGCGGGAGGGGAGCACTTAAGATACCTTACTCCATCCATCACGTCCGCCTCTTCTGTTGCTCCGCCGCAACATCATCGCCATCATTTATCCGCTTATTTCAAGCCGGATCAACAGGCTCTTCAAGTAACAAAGCGGAACCTCTGCTTACTTCTTGCATTGTCCCCTTAATCCCTCTCCCATCACCATCCTAACGCTGCTCGGGCGGCCCTTATCCCCGACGACTCCTTACGGTCGTGCTTATCATTAGTCGTCAATCGCCTGTCGCTCCCTTCTTCCAAATCACTCGACCGTAAATTGTTCCTCGTCATCGTACCTGCTTGCTTTGATCTATCGTCACATCGTTATGAAGCTTATCGCAACCCTCGCGCTAGGCGTGACAGCTTCCACAGCCGTGTTGGGGGCTGTGCTACCGCAGCAAGAACCATTAACAGAACACAGCGTTCACCACGGGCAAGAACTTTATTTGATCGAGCTTGCTCCTTACGAGACAAGATGGGTGACAGAGGAAGAGAAATGGGATCTAAAATTGGTAAGACAGTCCGCTTGAGACCGATTACACAAATGTCCCGCCCAATCCCTTATGCCTTCCGATCACTAACCGCTCTCCTCGACGCTCGGTCTAGGATGGTGTAAACTTCATCGATATCACCGCTGAGCGAAACACTGGCTTCTACCCCACACTGAACGCCGGCAGCTATGTCCACTACCCGGTGCAGATGGAACACTCGGAAGAGGTTGCCCCACTCCTCCGCAATCTGTCCAAGGATAACATGGAGAAGAATCTGGAGCATTTCACTTCCTTCCATACTCGTTACTATCGGTCAGCGACCGGCGTCGAGTCAGCGACGTGGCTTTACAACCAGGTCCTTGATGTGATCAAGGAGACGGACGCCTCAAAGCATGGCGCGACCGTGGAACAGTTTTCCCACCCCTGGGGTCAATTCAGTATCATCGCCCGAGTTCCAGGGCAGACAAACAAGACCGTTGTATTGGGTGCTCATCAGGACAGCATCAATCTGTTCCTCCCGTCGATTCTGGCGGCGCCTGGTGCGGATGATGATGGAAGTGGTACCGTTACGATTCTTGAAGGCTTGCGGGGTCTGCTGCAGTCAGACACCGTTGCCCAGGGTAAAGCCCCAAACACAGTGGAGTTCCACTGGTACTCGGCGGAGGAAGGTGGTATGCTAGGCTCCCAGGCTATTTTCTCCCAGTACAAGAAGGATAAGCGGGATGTCAAGGCCATGCTCCAGCAGGATATGACTGGATACATCCAGGGGTCGTTTGATGCGGGCCGCAAGGAAGCCATCGGAACCATGGTCGACTACGTCGATCGGGGGCTGACGCAATTCCTGAAGGATGTCATTAAAGAGGTAAGGCTGAAGCACCTCGCCACAGACATTGGAGCGGTCGCTAACATGCTCCTGAGCAGTACTGCAAGATCGGACATATTGAGACTAAGTGCGGCTATGCTTGTTCTGACCACACATCGGCGAGCAAGTACGGGTACCCTTCTGCAATGGCAACTGAGTCTGAGATGGAGAACAGCAACAAGAAGATTCATACCACCGATGATCGAGTCAAGTATCTGAGTTTCGATCACATGCTGGAGCATGCGAGGTTGACCGTAGGCTTTGCCTACGAACTGGCTTTTGCTCCGCTCTGATACCCTTCAAGACGGTACCCATATTCACTTGTTGGCAGATATAGATGATGGTATCTGAAAGCTAGATTCCTTGATTTGTTACATTGAATCCCATGTTGCTAAAGTGACTTGTATTGTGACCATCTTTGCGTAACTTGAATTGGCTATAAACCTCGAATGATATCAGTTCTTGATTCGGTTCTTGGTTAAGACAAGTTTTAACCATGTCACTTCATTGACTTACTCGTAGTTAGCCATCAGTTCTGACTCAGCATAAATTCATCAGTCTTCTTCACGTTCATCGCGCGGGAGAGTATGGCTGTTGAGGTACGATAAGATAAGAACAAGAACCACTGCTGGCTAGCACTGCAGACGGATTTTCCACCAAGCCCGAAGCAGACCCGAGTTGCTAACCCAAAGGAGAAGAGTAGTCCTCTCCGCCAGGCGATCACTGACTTGGCTTGCAGTGCAGAAGAAATCATTAATCCTTCAAAATTCCCACTCCGTTTTCGTCGGAGTCATAATTCATTTTCTCGCCTCCGAGCCCTTCTTCTTGCAGGCAAGATAAATTCCTTCTTTCTCCTGCTGTTCCATCACTTCTTGCTTGCCTCCCAAGGTTTCCCAGCTCACGATAGTTAACCACTTTGCTCTACGTCACCGGGCGCCCCTCTCCGACGAACAAGGCCCCACACCGGGTTTCAGTCCCTGCGTGCACCTGAGTACGAGGCGGTCGCGATCCCCCTCTCACCGTTATTGCTCAACGTTCTTTCCTTTCTTCAATCGGACTCAAGTGGTTTCGGATACAAATCAATTCCTGCACCAGCCTTTTGGCGACGCCCTCTATACCTTCTTGCAGCCCCTGAAAAGCTCACCCTTTCGAAACGCACACTACACGCTACCTCATCATGGACGCCTCCATTCCCTATTCGAAAGAACTGCAATTGGCCTGTCTGACAGTGCAGAGAGCTACTCTAGCGACCAAAAAGCTACTCGAAGCTGTCGACAAGGGGTCGTTCGACAAGAGTGATTCTACCCCTGTCACCATCGCCGACTTTGCTGCCCAAGCATTAATCATCGCCGCTATTCATCATGCCTTCCCTGATGACGTGTTTGTTGGTGAGGAAAGCGCGAGTGCCCTGCGATCCGACCCCGCCCTCCTCGAGCGAACGTGGGAGCTGGTCGCTTCTACTCGATTGACCGACGAGGAAAGCGATGCGCAGCTCTATACTCCCAAGACGAAGGAGGAAATGTTGGATATCATCGATTTGGGGGCCCAGGGTACATGCGGCTCGCAGAATCGTGCCTGGGTGTTGGATCCAGTGGATGGGACGGCGACCTTCATTCAAGGGCAGCAGTACGCCGTCTGCCTGTGTCTGCTGGAAAATGGACGCCAGAAGGTTGGTGTTCTGGGCTGCCCAAACATGAATCTGGAGAAGGGATACATCCACGAGGATATTGTAGATCGAGAAGGTTATGGGCATCAGGTATTCGCCGTTGCTGGTCACGGCGCGTACATGAGAAAGATGGACACGGGCGCTCTCCTCCCTGCCCACAAGCTCGAGCCTAAACCTGCCATCACAGACCCCAAGGACCTTGTCTTTGTCGATTGTGCGGGTGGATCATCGGATATCAACGTACATGCCCGCCTTGCATCTCACCTGGGCGCCCCTTGGCCGCCTAAGACAGACCTCTGGGCGACCCAGTTGCGATACATCGCGGTTGCGGTTGGAGGGTGCAATGCTTCCATGAAGATCCCACGCAAGGCTTCTTATCGGTCAAAGATCTGGGACCATGCGGGCGGGATGTTGATTGTCGAAGAGGTTGGCTGCATTGTCAGCGACCTTGCTGGTCGTCCGGTTGACTGCAGCCTCGGGCGCACTTTGGCGGGATGTCACGGGATGATTGTTGCGCCTTCGTCTATCCACCAACGGTTTGTGGACGCTGTGCAACAGATCATGTAAGACAAGGCAAGGTTGCTTAGTGGCCAAATTCGCGAGGAGTGAATTGTGAGACAGCACCGTGGAACCTCTTCCGATTGCTGCTCATGGCAGACTCATATCTTTAGCATTCGAAGGGGACTAAGGGAAGACACAAGTGGTGAATATCTAGATGCTCTTGGTGGTATACAATCATACACCCCAAACAGAGGTTATCCAGAGCAGTCTGTTGGCAAGTCCACGTGCATTTGTGGGTGGGCTGAAATGCAAGATGACGTGCCAATGAAGGAGGCAACCGGTGAAGCCAGCTTGAGAAAGTGGCATTGGTTGGAAGGAAACCCTCAAGCAGTCCAGCTGCAGGCGCTTACAGGACCGTGCACCGATCGACAGCGTGGAGACGTCGATCAGCTCTTTGAGAGAGAGTGGTGAAAAGAGCAGCCTAGCGAGTTTTCCAGTGGATGTTGGCTGAAGGAAGGGGTGGGGAGAGTGAAAACAGGGCTCTGGCTATAGTATCGTCTCTTCCTACATTTTACTTAGCTGAGTGAGTCTAACGTTTCTGGCGTGTCAGAGAGAATGGGAGAGAAGTTGAGAGTCCAGACCGGATGATGTCATCACTGAATGCATACACTTAATCCCTCCTCCAGCTTAACAACAAGAAGCAGTAGACGCAGTCGAAGTGGTCTCGTAGCAGCGGTGAAGTAGAGAAAATTCAATTCCAATACGGAGGAACTCCATTAGCGTTGTGTGGGCAGGGGAACAGTTCATTGAAAATAGTATTTGGTGGCTGTTGTTGGCCTGTCCTGTCAGGTCAGAAGATCAGGCAATGCGGGGTGCAGCCGCCGTGACGATGACGGGATGACGACCGCTCCCAAGTAATTGTTCTTCTCTTTCACTTACTTATTATTCCTCTTCTCATCTCCCCTTCTGTACTCCTTCAGGTCTTGACTCCTGTTCCTCCTCATCCGTCTGTACTGTATCGAATCATTCTCGTCGCAGTCCTGTAATTCAACATGGCTCCTTGTGAGTAGTGCTTGACCTTCCTCGCTGTACATGGCTATGCATACCATTACTGACTACTTTGGACCCAAATCTAGATAATCCATTCGCCAGACATGAGTCCCATAGCCGGTCGACCTTGACTGCCTACCGCATTCTCGTTCCTTTGTCCTGGTTGCTGGTGTTGATTGTCGGCATCTACTATTCCTCCAACTCGCCCGATGATGTGAAGCATGGCCATTCCATTTGGAAGCAAGCCAACAAGCATATCACTGCCTTCAGCTTGAGTCCTATCATCACACGCATCTACTGGTGAGTTTCCACCCCGGCGTCGGCAGCTGACTTTCTATTAACACCTTATGTTCCTTCAGGGTCATCCTTCTTATCTCTCAGGTCGGCTACGTCTATCATCTCTTCTCGAGGGATGCTGTACTGGTTACCGGCGCAGCGAACGTGGGAACCCACTTCATTCTCAACAACCTGTTCACCTTTGCCTGGATTCTTCTGTGGACCCGCAGCCATTTCTGGGGAGCGGAAATCATCCTGATTGCGCACTTCATCAACCAACATGCGACGTACTGGCGCCACCGCACCCTGAGCCCGCTTGCTCACCTGTCCGCTGTCGCGGCTCCTTTCGCCTGGACCCTCATCGCGCTCTTCTGGAACGGAGCCGTTGCTGTCAACAGCAACAGCCTGCCCGCTAGGATCGTTGCAAACATCTTCATCTGGGTGCTGTTCGCCGTGGGATCCGGTCATATTCTCGTTGCCCAGGATGACCTCCTCGGTTATAGTTTGAGTCTGCTGACGCTTGGTAAGTGATACATAATCGCCTGGCCCACACCCGATAACCATGCTAATCTATGGCTTGCAGCACTTGCGGTCAAGCAAGTTGGTGTCAAGGTGATCTCGTTGCAGTGGATCTTCGCCATCGTCATTTTCGCCATCTTCTTCGTGGAATCCCTCTACATCTCCATGACCAAGTACACCGGCCGCAATGTGCTGCTCCGTAGAACTGGAGAGTCCGGTACCACTGACCGTGAAAGAGAGCCTCTCCTTAACGAGCCCACGGCCTGAATATAGGTGCTGTCCACCTGTGTTCCAATGTCACCAGGAACACTCGCTGGCCTGTAGTGCTGGCCGTGGTCAAAATGGAGTTGTCATCGAAAAAAGAGATGTTTCGCGCAGATGGTGTTTCTCTTCCACTTCTACGCCACTTTTGTGGTCGCCTTAAACGGATGTGATTCATGATGGGGTCTGGTGTTGTAATGTTGACTATGGTCAGATGTCTATTGTTTCTCTAGTGGATCTTCCCTCCCATGTACATTTGTTAGCAGTTGTAGCATGGCGTTTCTTTTCCATGGGTCCGCTGGGTGAGTTTGTCTCGGTTCGGTCGATCTGTCCCCACTGTATCCTCTCTTTAGTCTCAAATTGAAAGTGATTTGGTAATGACAATTGCTGAGGAATTTCGATATCCTTCGGAAACACTGTTTGACGGTTGGGTCGTTGGGTTTTAAGATTATGTGCTCCACCGCGTGCCTGAGGAACCAAGAGCCCGTGCGGCTTGGTTTCCATTGTTTGTACGAGGGCCGGAACGACAGGAACATAAAAGTAAATGACACAATTACATACCTTTTAAGGTTGAATTTAACCCCATGTACAGAAGTCTTACAGGTTCCTAAAGGTTCCTACTAAGTCTAAGGTACTTTTCCATCCGGAGTGTCCCACCAGCCAATATGTTTCTAAGCTGCAAGGATTGTCGCCCCGCCCGTTTCCCCAAGCTCTCTGGTTGCCCTGGTGACAACCACCTTCTCCACGGTGTGCCGGTCGTAGCGCCCGGATCGCGACCGGGTTTAGGCGCCCATAACCTTGCCCGGTCTCTTAAGAGCAGGAGCACACGGCTGACACGTTATGGTTTTGTTTGCTTGCTGCCGTGGGTCGGTGTTGAAGAATTGATTTTCTGAAGACCGTGGGATCGTTGTTTACACCGTTGTGCGTCTCCCTCCTATTCAACACTCCATCCGAGGGTTCCCACATACTTTAATCGCACGATCTTGTCAGACGCATTCCTGGTAATTTCCCAAAGCATACTGGGGACTGTGTGGGCTCGGTAACCAGCTAAACCTATTGGCTGTTACTCACTGTGAGTGCTCTGTCTATTGTTCTCCGGCTGCTTGCCGAGATGGATGGGAGAAGACGAGGCTAATCTGTATGCCATCTTCTATAGCAGTCGAATAGGCAGAATCGTGCTCCGACTTCCTAGAACGATAGACCCGAGGACCCATCACATTGGGCACGTGCATTAGACGAGACAACCCCGAGGATCGGCCGTATCGCTGCAATTGGCTGGTGGATAGATACTATGAACAATTGAACGTGTGGGACGGAGTATCACGATGTCGCAGCGCTATATACCGGCACGGAGCCAGGAGGAAGAGCCACCGGCCTACGGATCGTATGGAGATGGCTCTTATCTCGACTCTTCGCCCGCGGCGTCACGTCTCCATGGAGCTACAATGCGACTGCTCCCCACGAGCTCGGCGGTGGACAGTGATCTGAGTGGAGGCACTGGCATGACCTCAGAGTATCACTATGGTGATTCATTCACTTATGACGCAGGGTAAGCTCACTTTGGTTCGAGTTCGTCCCCAAATTTGTCAATTTTTTATGATTCTTCGGCATGCTGGCGGAGCTTTTCTGCTATCCCCGTATACTACCACCATACTTGAGCCCCCCCTTGTTTGCACCCTCCACCCAATCATAACTTGCGTTCGGAACAAGCTCAAGGTCCTGGACTGAAGAAGCCCAAACGTTTTTCGCAATTTGTACTTGTGGTATAAACGCGCAATGTCCACGCCTTTGTGGGATCTCTGTCCGTTTCAACTGCCCCTTGCGAAGCTCACTTAGCGGGCCCAGCAACCGCTAGAAACATCCGTCAAGATGCTTTTTGAAATGTTCTATATGAGGCGAACTGTTAACAGGAATCGCAGAGCGGAACAGCAAGAGCAATATGCTCAGAGCCAGTATCAATATGATCCGGAAGACTCCCCGTCGAGACCTACATCGAGCCTTCGACACGCGCCTACCATCCCCCCACCGGTAGCATCCGCAGCCGATTTACCGCACTATGCGTCTCGCCCCGGCTCGCCTACGCGCCCTTGGTCCCCATCCCGTGCACCCAACTGGAGCGGACCACCAGCACCTCCGTCCGTAGTCAGCTCGCATTATGAGCGTGCTGACCTCAACGGCAGCCCTAGGCCGGGAACCCCGAGTTCGAGATATGGGGGCAGTCCCAGACGTCCGCTTCCCCCAGCGCCACTGTTTGCGCCCCCCGCCGGCTATGACGCGAGTATTCCCATTTGCAACTCAGACGAGGATGTTTTTGGCGGTGGTGGTGGCGGCCGCAGTACCGACCCCCAATTTGACAACCGCGCCAGCCTGCAGTCGTTCATGAGCGAATCGACGATTATCACGGACGATAAGGATGGAATGGCGAAGATTGACTTGGACGATGAATACGACGAACGGGGAGAACTGGTCGATCCGAACTTGCATTACGGCCCACCCCCGGAGAAGCAGAGCCGCCGCGGTGTCCGAGAAGCCCAGATGTCGAAGAAGGAAGTGCAGCTCATCAACGGAGAACTCATTCTGGAGTGTAAAATCCCGACAATCCTGCACAGTTTCCTGCCCCGGCGTGACGACCGCGAATTCACGCACATGCGGTACACCGCTGTGACTTGCGACCCAGACGATTACATACAGCGAGGATATAAACTCCGTCAACAGATTGGCACGACTATGCGGGAGACCGAACTCTTCATTTGCATCACCATGTACAACGAAGATGAGATTGGCTTCACTCGCACCATGCACGGTGTCATGCGGAACATCAGCCATTTCTGTTCACGCTCCAAGTCCCGAACATGGGGTAAGGATGGATGGAAGAAGATCGTCGTGTGCATCATCGCAGACGGACGCAAGAAGGTCCATCCCCGGACGCTCAATGCTCTCGCGGCCCTGGGTGTCTACCAGGAGGGCATTGCCAAGAATGTGGTCAATCAGAAGGAGGTCCAAGCCCACGTTTATGAGTACACAACGCAAGTATCCCTTGACTCGGATCTGAAATTCAAGGGAGCTGAGAAGGGCATGACGCCTTGTCAGATTATATTTTGTCTCAAGGAGCACAACAAGAAGAAGTTGAACTCCCACCGTTGGTTTTTCAACGCGTTTGGGCGGGCCCTTCAGCCCAATATTTGCATCCTTCTGGACGTTGGAACCCGGCCAGAGTCCACGGCGCTCTACCACTTGTGGAAAGCATTCGATCAGGACTCAAATGTGGCCGGAGCTGCTGGAGAGATTAAGGCGGGCAAGGGTAAAAACATGAGAGGTCTCCTCAACCCGCTGGTTGCGAGCCAGAACTTCGAGTACAAGATGTCCAACATTCTGGACAAGCCTCTGGAGTCTGTGTTTGGATACATCACTGTCCTTCCTGGTGCACTCAGTGCATACCGATTCTTTGCTTTGCAGAACGACGCCGACGGCAATGGGCCTCTGAACCAGTACTTCAAGGGTGAGACATTGCACGGCAAGGATGCGGATGTTTTCACAGCGAATATGTACTTGGCTGAGGATCGTATTCTCTGCTGGGAGCTGGTGGCCAAGAGGGAAGAGAGATGGGTTCTGCGATTCGTGAAAAGTGCTGTTGGTGAAACCGATGTTCCTGGTCAGTGACAATTTCTCCGCAGCCACCTGGCATGACTAATTATCCTTGCAGATACAATTCCTGAGTTCATCTCCCAGCGTCGGCGATGGCTGAACGGTGCATTCTTCGCAGCCGTATACTCGATCGTCAATGGAAGGCAGCTTTGGAAGACGGACCACTCGCTGGTCCGGAAGATTCTTCTGCAGATCGAGAGCTTCTATCAGTTTATGCAGCTCCTCTTCACGTACTTCGGCTTGGTAAGTGCATTCGGTGATATAGACAGCAAGAGGCTTACATTCAACTAGGCGAACTTCTACTTGGTCTTCTACTTTATTGCGGGATCGCTCACCGACCAGAAGATCGACCCCTTTGGACACAACATCGGGAAGTATATCTTCGTTATCCTACGATATGCCTGCATTCTGGTCATGGCCTTGCAATTCATCATCTCGATGGGTAATCGACCACAAGGGTGAGTTTCCTTCGTTCCTGGCACAGGCAGCAATTCTGACGTCCTGCAGTGCCAAAAAGCTCTATCTGTCGGGCATCATTGTGTACGGTATCATTATGTTCTACACGATCTTTTGCACGCTCTACTTGATCGTCATTGAGTTCATGGCACGGTTTGGTGGATACACGAAGGTCACTGTTAGTAACGGACTTTTCGTGAATATCGTCATGTCCATGCTTTCAACTGTGGGCCTTTACTTCTACTCGTCCTTTCTATACCTGGACCCCTGGCACATGTTCACCTCCTCCGCGCAGTACTTTATCCTTCTGCCGAGCTACATCTGTACTCTGCAGGTCTACGCCTTTTGCAATACCCATGATGTGACCTGGGGTACCAAGGGTGACAACGTGATGAACACTGACCTCGGAGCCGCACGAACCATCAATGGCACTACGGTCGAAATCGAGATGCCCTCCGAGCAACTCGACATCGACAGCGGCTACGACGCCGCCCTGCGGAACCTCCGTGACAGAGTGGAGGTTCCTGAGGCGCCCATCTCTGAGAGCCAACTGCAGGAAGACTACTACCGCGCCGTGCGAACTTACATGGTCTCCATTTGGATGGTGGCCAACGTCGTTCTCGCCATGGCAATCTCGGAGGTCTACGGGCCCGACTCGGGCGGCACGAACATCTACCTCTCCATTATCCTGTGGTCGGTGGTTGTTTTGGCGCTCATCCGCACCATCGGATCCACCACCTACGCCATCCTCCTGGTGGTGCAGAAGATCGTCGAAGGCAAGACTAAGTTCGATGCGGGCAACCTCGCCAATGCGAGTGCAACAGCCAGCTCGTCGGGCCGGACGAACACCACGGCTTATCGGTACGGTGGAGGCGCGACGATGAAGGATAAGTTTTCTGAGGCGGGATGGACGTTGAAGAGACAGTTGGGGAAGGCGATGTTCTGGAGGAAGTAGACTTCCTCTCCGTCTTTATTATTGATGCTCTACTCTATTTCCTTTGACTTTCATTTTTTCTTATTACCCCTGTGCATGACTTGATGGAATGATGTTGTTGATTACTTACGTGTATTTATTGCATGATGATTGATGGATAACGGGACATAATGGATATACGTGATGCATGCAGAGCACTTCTCACATGGTCGACTATTCCGGAGGAATCGCGATCGACCCCTCCGACACCTTGACAGCATTTCCCTTGAGATCCACATGCGCAATCGTCTCGGCATCGTCTCCCATCTCCACCTCCACGCCAATCTCACTCCGCCTCCCCATCTCCACCCCCTGCACAAAATCAAACCCCCTCCTCTCCTTCGGTGTGCCATCCGTCAAAGACAGATAAGCCGCCAACCCACACGCCGCACTCCCCGTCGCCGGATCCTCGACATTCCCAGCAATCGCCCGCGTGCGTATCACCTCCCTGTCCTTGCCCTGGTCATCGTCCTGCACCCCCCTAACGTAGAAATAAAGCACACAATGCCCCACCGCCCACCCACCTTCGCCATCCATATACCCACTCTCCGGGCCCACCATCTCCCCGCCCGCAGAGGTAGTCACCGCCGCCAACGCCGCCAATGACGGCACCTCCACAAGGACCTGCGACATGCCCTTCACGATCGAGAACACGGGGAAGGAGAATTCTTTCTGCTGCTGCTGCTGCTGCTGCTGCTCCTGCTCCTGCTCCCCCAGATCCGAGTTGTTTTGAGTGAAAAACGGAGCCAAAGACCCATGCAACCGCAGGAGTTCCCGGAGCGGGAACCGCTTCGCGTGCACGTGCGGGTTATGCGCGATCCGCGCGGTGACGCCCTCGCCCTTGGCCTGACCCGACGTCGTCTCTGAGGCGGCGGGGCTGGGGCTGGGGCTGGGGCTGGGGCTAGTTGCAGGGATAAGGGCGATGGGGATCGTCCCGGATTTGGTGATGAGGTGCGTTATCGCATCTTCTTTCGGAGGGTTCCCGGAGCTAGGGGATAGAGATGACAGGCGGAGGAACCAGGCGGCGGCGCCGATGGTGGGGTGGCCTGCGAAGGGGAGTTCGTCGGTGGGCGTGAAGATGTCGATTGTGCGGTGGGTTGTGTTGCTGCCGCTGCTGGGGCCAGGGTGGATGAAGATGGTTTCGGAGAAGTTGAATTCGCGGGCGAGGGTTTGTTTTTGGCGCTGGGTTAGGGTTGTGTTGGACGAGGTGGAGGAAGAGGGGGGAGGGAGGAAGACGACGGCCAGTGGGTTGCCTGTGTAGGCTGTGTTGGTGAAGACGTCGAGCGTTATGTAGTTGACGTGGCCGGGGGGTGGCATGTTGGGTGGTTTGGTGTTGTTTGGTATAGTTTATGGTGGGTGGGGTTGGTGTGGAGGGGGGTCAAGTGTGATTGATTTGTAGATGTTTTTATAGATGATGTTTTACTCCGCTTGTGAGTCATCGCTGTAGATTGTTCCACTTGTACCTACTTTTTGTTGACAAATCATTGCTACAATGCTGGGATCGTGTCATTTTCGCTTGGCCGATTTGTTCATGGCTCGTATTCAGGGTATAAGCCGGTGGTTGCATTTTTTAACAGGTGGCTGGAGGGCTGGCTTCAATGTCCAACACAATGCTTCGTCAGCCCCCAGATCTCCCGCTCATCATATCATTAAGCTACATGTAGACCATCTCACTCCGAATCGCTGTCGACCACAAATCCAGCGCGCACCCGCCGGCGTGAAGCAGCTGCAACGACCGGTGCGTCTTCATCCTCCTCATCCTGTGCGCCGCCTTCTACCTCGGGTTCGCTAGTATGTGAGGCTTCATCGTCGCGAGGAGGTCCTAACAGGTCCTCGCGGTTACGACTGAACGCGAGGTCGTCATCAAAATCCAGGAGATCGTCCAGTTCATCCCGGGGCATGTCGTCCTGTGGCGACTCCGGCGACAAATCCCCCGTGCCCCCCATGA